ATCTTTGTCATATTCTTTCTTTTCTCTTTTTTCTTGCACTTTTTATTCTTTCTTAGTATTTTTTTCTTTAGTTTGTATTAGTTTTTACTATTGTAATCAAAATCCTTAATAAAAAATTATATACAAAAAAAGAAAGAAAATATCTTTAAAATGATATAGAAAATAATTGTTCTTATATTCTGAAACTGTGATGCAGAATTAATCTATGGGGTAGATGGGAAATAAAATATAAAGCTTACTGTAGCATGAGCGCATTTACATGTGAATTTTTTTTTACTAATTATTAAACAAGGAATAACAAAACATCCAAATAAGAAAGTAAATACTGTAGGTTAATCCAATACATAGTTCATGACATTAGTTGTCGAACCACTAACTGCATGAATGACATAATTCCATCAGTGTAAAGCCATGCAAAAAACATTCTCTTCAAACTTCAAGCAATGATTTAAAAATCAACCTTAAAGATTAGAGATAGTTTCACTTTTTAATATTCTGTTACTCCTTAAACAAAATAAACCAAACCCATTAATTTTTCAGAAATAATATTAGAAGACCTAGTAATTAGACAGAAAACAACTTTGCCTACAATTTTTCAGGACATTCTGGAAAGTTATACAGGTAGTTCTTGATTAACAATGGTAATTGGAACTGGAATTTCTGTACTAAGCAATGCGGACATAAAGCGCAATGTTATGTGATCGCATTGCTCAGCAACAGCAATCCCAGAAGTCCCCACTACCATTGTTAAGTGAAGACCATGTGGGTCATTAAGTGAGGAACTCACATGACTGCAACATGGGAAGAGGCAGGGATCCATAACTGCTTGCTTACACTGCTGGAACTGTGTCCCAGGCAAGCAGACCGGTGGGCGAGAGCTATGTCTGGGTGTGTCAGTGCTACAGAATACGGGCAGCGAGTGGGCGGGTGCCGTGGGCAGTTGCTATGAAGTGCAAGCAGGCGCTGCAGGTGGGCACTAAGGAGTATGGGTGGGTGGGCACTACAGAATACAAGATCCTCATGCCACCCAGGGGCTTCTCAGGAGAAAAAATGGCAGGAGCAGGAGCAACTTGCGACCTCTTGCCAGCTTCCCCATTGATGTTGCTTGGGGGAGCAGGTAAGGTCACAAATGACGATTGTGTAACTGCAGGGTGCTGCAACTATCATAATTGTGAGCCAGTTGCCAAACACCTGAATCATGATCATGGGACCATTGGGATGCTATAACAGTAGCAACCGTGACACCGCCCAGAGTCGCTTTGTGTGAGATGGGTAGCTATATAAATGTGATATATAAATAAATAAAATAAACTTTGAGGACTGGTTTTAAGTCCCCCTTGTTCAACACTGTCATAACTTTGAACAGCTGCCGAACAAGTGGCTGTAACCTGAGAACTACCTGTAATTTCATTTTAGCCACAGAAAGTTCTGCCTTTCTGCCATCTTGGATTAAATTCTGATAAAATGGCCAAAGAAAGTTAGACATAAACTGATGAAGGACATACACCTCCTTGAAACTTTAACATTATTCATATATATTTCAATTAAAACTACTTACTACTGAATCTGCATCTGGACATTCTCTGTAAAAAAACACCAATAAATCAGATAATTGTTGTAATTATTGCATGAATCTTCTGAATTTATCTTGCTATATACATAACCTCTTTCTACCATCTTTGAAATCAGTGAATCAGTGTATATGACATTAATTCAGTAATGAAAAGATTTACATCTTTCAATTTCAGTTAAAAATTGTTAAGACTACATATATATAAACACAACAATAGCATACTTAATGTAGAAGATGCAGATAAAAATCATACTGGTAATAAAATACGAGAGGTTTTAAAGTGTTGCTGGAATTAAAATTGTTCCATTTCCTATAAAAACATATTAGAGAAGTAGACAGGAACTCTTGGGCAAATGAATTCCATAATTTTGATTTTCCACAATTTTTTTAACTAGCTGGCAATTGCACTTTAGAAAATGGTAAAAGAAACAGTTGCATCCTTAAAAAATATATAGTTGATCAAAACTTTATTTTATACCAGATATAATGTTACTGAAAGGGTATGTGGTTAATTTTACATAGCTGAGAGAGCACATGTGCTTCCTTCACTGTTGGAACTACAAAATAAATACATTTTGAAACTTCCCAGAAATTGGTAAAATTGATATGCTAACCCAAGTTAAGAAGAAACTGTTGTGCCAACCCCTTCCAAAATAGAAAAATCCCCAAGAGAAGGTCAGCAGTAGTGATTAAAAACATTTTCGCTTGGTTGGTATTACAATATAATATCAGCTCAGTTTGGAAAATATTCACAAGATTCATATTTGTTTGTCTATATTTGATTTTTAATGGATTAATTTATTTTAACTATTTATGGGGGATTTTTAAT